CTCGTCGCCCGCCGCTCGAGTTCACGTCGCTCTCGCTGCCGGAGACGGCGGTGGCGGCGGCGAAACGGCCCTACGAGCCGAACTACGTCGCCTTCGCGGCGGGCGCGCTCAACGGGACGATCTTCGGCGACCGCGCGGCCGACCTCGACGCCGTGCTCACCGTCGACGGCGTCGACTTTTCCTGCATCGGCGCCCACGGCTCCGAGGGCGGCGACCGCGTCTACAAGGTCATGAGCCGGTCGCGCCTCTCGGACGCGCGCGTCGACGAACTCTTCGAAACGCGCGCGTCGCCCATCGCGCGCGTCGACTGGAACGCAACGGGCGCCTACCCGGTCCTCGCGCCGACGCCGGGCGCCGCCTGGCCGCCCTTCGTGCTCGGCGACGGAGTCTACTACGCGAACATGGAGGTCCCGGTCTCCTGCATGGAGACGGAGATCATCGCCGGCAAGAACGCGGCGCTGCTCGCGGCCGCGCGCGTCGCCGCCTAATGGTCGTTTTTTACAGCCAGCGCGCCGCCTACGCCGCGGGCGGCGGCGCCGCGGCGACCGCGGCGGCGACGGTCGTCGCGATGGCGACGTCCTGGACGGCGACGCCCGTGAGGTCGCAGACGATGGTGTGCTTCGGGTCCCGGGCCTCCTGGGGCTTCCGGAAGCGCGCGCCGAGCTCCGACCTGGGCAGCACAAGGGTGATTCAACGTCGCTTCAACGTGAGTGTTCCGCGCGCGCGCGTTCCGGGAAAAGCATTCACGCTTCGAGACCGTTCCGAGAGATGATCGCTCGTCCAAAGATCAGCCAGAACGAGTGGAAAACGGCCGAGATATGAGGCTTTGAAGTTGGGAATTTCGCTCTCTTGTGCTGCCCTGGCTCCGACGCCGCGAGCCCCGCGGGCTTGTAGGCCGCCTCGCCGAATTTGAGGCACTGGACCGCCGAGTCCACGAGCAGCCGCACGTCGTCGCCGCGCAGGACGCCGTCGCCGAGCTCGCGCTTGCCCGGGACGTCCGCGCCGAGCGCGACGACGCACGCGCCGGGCCGCACGCCGCGCAGCACGGGCGCCGTCGCGGGCGTGCACGTCACGACGACGTCCGCGCGCGACTCCACGACGTCGAGCGGCGCCACCGTCGTGTGGCGCCAGCCCTTGGTCGCCGCGAAGGTGCCGAAGGCCCGCGCGCTCGCCTCGGACCGGGACACGACCATGAGCTCGCCGTCCGGGAACATGGGCGCGCAGTACTCGGCGACGAGCTTCGCGATGACGCCCGTGCCGAAGACGGCGAGCCGCTGCGCGCCCGCGGGCATGAACTCGCGCACGCAGAGCGCCGCGGCCGCCGCCGTGCGCACGTCCGTGAGGTGGCCGCCGTCCGCGAGGACGCTCTCGAGCTCCCCCGTGCGCTGCGAGAAGAGGAGCATGACGCCCTGGCTGTTCGACAGGCCCAGGGCCGCGTTGCCGGGGAAGCCGCCGGCGACCTTGACGACCCAGGAGCTTTGTTGCTTCACGTAGCCCGCCTTGATGCAGGCGTCGCCCCGGCCCTCGATGAGCACGTGGGACACGGGCGCGACCCAGGCCTTGCCGTCGCTGTACTGCACGTAGGCCGCCTTCATGGCGTCCATGATCGTCGCCACGGGCGGCAGGCTCGCGACGAGCTCGTCCTTCGTGATGACCTGCGGCATCGTTCGCAGCAGAGCGGCGTCGCGAGCAGCTCTCGAGCCCAGGCTCGTTTGGAGATGCGAATTGCCACAGACGGAAATGATGTGCAATTCCTGATTCAACATTAACCGGTCGAGCACACGATGGAGTAGCAAGCAGCCCTAATCAATGGCGAAGCTTGCAGACGACGCGCCGCAGCCATCGACGTTCGCGCTGCCCGTCGACGCGCCGCCGCGGCCGTCCGAGGCGGCGCGGCGCAGGTTCCTGGAGGGACTGGCGCATAAAGGCCAGCGTCCACTGCTCTTCGGCGAACTCGTCGTCGAGAAGCGCGGCGGCGAGCTCCAGATGCGCGAGCGCCGGGGCTGGTGCCCGGGGTCCGCGGGCCGCGGCGCGTCGACGTTCCGGTGCCTCCGCGAGGCCGACGCCATCTACCGCTGGCCCGACTTCGGGCCGCTGTCGATCTCCACGGGCGACGCGGGCGCGGACGGATCGCTGGCGTTTTGCCACGAAACGCCCGGCGCCGAGACCGTGCCCGACTTCGTCTTCCACCGCTGGCCCGAGGCCGGCGTCGACGACTACGCGGACACGTGCTCGGCGATCGCGGCCGCCGGCGAAAGACCGGCGGCGACGGACCGCGCGGGCTGGATCGGCGCGCCCTCGCACGCGACGCGGCGGCGGCTCGCGGAGCTCGGCCATTCCCGACCTGACCTGTTGTCGATCACGCTCATGACGTGGCGTCCCGAAACACAAACAACCGGCCGCCACGGCGCGAGCTCCTTCGTCTCGTTGCCGGAGCTGGTGGCGACCTACGCGTGGCTCGTCGACGTCGAGGGCGCGGGCTACAGCGGGCGGCTCAAGTTCCTCCTCTTCTCGAAGCGCTGTTTATTGCTCGCGGACCGGCCCCAGAAGGAGTGGTTCCACGGCGACCTCGTCCCCTGGACCCACTACGTCCCCGTGCGCCGGGACCTGAGCGACCTCGTGGAAAAGGCGGCCTGGTGCCGGGCGCATCCCGCCGCGGCGGCGTCCGTCGGCGCGGCCGCGGCCCGCTTCGCGGCCGCGCGCCTCACGCGCGCCGCGTGCTACGCCCGCTGGGACGCGGTCCTACGCCCCTACGCCACACCCCTAGCTTAGATGGACTTCGCCGACGCGACGGCGTCGAGGATCGTCGCCATGGCCTCGTCGCCGTAGCGCTGGAGCGACGGGATGAGCGCGCGCGCCTCCTCGGGCTCGCTGTCCTTGGACATGAGGTTCGTCAGGCTCGCGATCTCGTAGACGTGGAGCGCGCCGCCCTCGTCGAAGCGCAGCTCCTGGAGCGCCTGGCGGATGTGGATCGTCTCCGACTTGACCGCTTCCACCGGCCGGACGCCGATGGACCGCTTCGTGTAGTCGTAGGTCTTGCGCAGGAAGGGCCGGTCGCCGGCGCTGTTGCGCATCGTGTTGTCGAGGATCGTCGTCACCTCGGCGTCGCTCAGGCACTCGCAGGAGTTCGCCGGGAACTCGGGGCCGAACCGCAGCACCGCCGCGTCGTCGTCGGGCTCGCCGGCGAGGGCGCTCATCGCGAAAAGCGGCGGGCGCGGAGCGCGGCGATGGCGCCGGCGAGGGCAACGGCGAGGGCGAGGGCGGCGCGCCGGTTGCGCGGCGTGGTGGCGGTGAGCGGCGAGTTGGCGCGCGAGGTGCCGTCGATGTTGGCGTCGATGTTGATCGCCGACGATCCGGGGTCCCGCCTCCCGGCGTTCGCCCGTGCGCGCGAACGCGGTCGTCCCTATTTCGGAAAAACGGTCAGTACCGGCGGGTACGTCTAAGGAAGGCCCCAGCAAACTCTCACGCCCAACGGTGAGGGTGTTGCAGCGATCGGATGGCGTTCGTCCGATCCCTAGAGGAAATCCAGCCCAAAACCGACCCTTACGCGACGACATACGAGTCATTTTCGGCGCTCTAAAGGGCCGCGCGCACGTCGCCATGACCATACGCGACGGTCTGGCCAAAAAGACCGCGCGACGGCAGCGTTTTCTCGTCGGCGAAAAAAACGCGTCTCGGGCACCGAAAACGACCCCGAAACCGTCGGCGTGTCGCGGGACGTCGACGGGTCCCAGGGTCGTGCGCTTCGCGTCGCAGGTGTTGTGGTAGTCAAGGGCGGCCTCCGCAGCAGCCAGAGATCGTTGGAACCGCCGTCATCGATGCGAACTCGCCCGCCAGCGTCTCGCTGCGCGCTTTGAGCGCCAGTCCGCGGTCGAAATACGTGCGTCGGGACGATGTTCGACGTCGCGCCCCGTCCGCAGTACCTTCGTGGACCCTCCGAAGCGCTCGCAGCAGCCGCCGTAGTCGCGCGCGGCGCGGAAGGCGGTCCCGTCGACCGACCTCCACTGGTTTGCACTGCGGAGCGCACGGGCTGGTTTCGCGACGCGTTCGGGTTCCCGCGCCTCGATACGCTGCACACGCACTCTCAGTAGGGTCCTCTCGCGGCCTGCAAAGTTTCCCAAATAGGGACGGCCGCGTTCGCGCGCACGGGCCATCGCAAAAACCGCCACTGCGAGGCGGGACCCCGGCTGCCGACGAGCGGAAGGTCTTTGCCACAAAGGTGGATCTCCGGCGCCACCGTCGTCGCGCAGAACGCTAGCGTAACACACCACCAAAATGCTCTCCTTCGCACCGAAAGAGTCGCCGGACGTGCTCCGGCGCCTGCGGTCCGCGGCCCAGCGCGTCCTCGCGGACGAGCACGGCCTCGGCGACGCCGTCGCGACCGTGGCGTCCATCCCCTGCCGCGAGCCCGGCTGCCCGCCCTTCGAGACCTTCGTGCAGATCCTGAGCGACGTGCTGCCCGTGGCCTTCCGCCTCAACAAGCGGCCCGCCGACGTGAGCGACGCGGAGCTCGCGTCCGCGCTCCGCTTCGCGGTCGCCGGCGCCCGACTCGCGCCGGCGACCGCGGACGCGCCGCCGCCGCCGCCGCTGCCGCCGGCGCCCCACGCCTTCAAGCGCACGCCGGACGCGACCATCGGTATTGCGGCGCTGCGCGGCGTCGTCCGCGAGGTCGTCGACGCGACGGACACGATAGACGTGCACACGCACCTCTTCCCGCCGAGCCACGGCGACCTCTGCGCCTACGGCATCGACGCGCTCCTCACGTACCACTATTTAGTGTCCGAGTTCTTCATGGTCGCGCCCATGGACCTGACGCACGCGCGCTTCTTCGCCAAGTCGAAGCGCGCGCAGGCGGATCTCGTCTGGGACGGCCTGTTCGTCCGACGGACGCCTCTGTCGGAGGCCTGCGTCGGCGTGCTGACGACCCTGGCCGCCTTCCCCGAGCTGCGGCCCGCCCTCGACCCGCCCCTGACGGCCGCGTCGCTCGTCCCGATCCGCGCGTTCTTCGACGCCGCGGATCCCGCGGAACACGCGACGCGCGTGCTCGCGATGGCCGGCGTGAAATACGTCGTCTGCACGAACGTGCCCTTCGACGCGCGCGAGGCGTCGGAGTTCGTCGACGAGACCTGCTGCGTCGACGTCGACGCCGAGACTTTTGCGTCCGTGGAGACGAGGCCGCGCGACGCCGCGGAAACCTCGCAGTTCCGCACGGCGCTGCGCGTCGACGCGCTCCTCAAGGGCGACTGGGCGACGATCGCCGCGTCGCTGGCCCAGCGGGGCCTCCCGGAGACCCTGGCCGGCGCGCGGACCTTTCTGAAGGCCTGGGCGAAGCGCTACGGCGCCGTCTACCTCATGGCGTCGTCGCCCGCGGACTTCGCGTACCCCCGGGACGAACCCAAACAACCGGGCTGGCCGTCGGCGACGGCGCTCGTCGACGACGTGCTCGTGCCCGTCGCGCGGGAGCTCCGGCTGCCGTTGGCGCTCAAGCTCGGCGCGCGGCGCGGCATGAACCCGGACCTCGACCCCTGCGGCGGCGGCGACGGCGTCGTCGTCGCGGACGGCGGCCCGCTCGTGGACCTGTGCTCGCGGAACCCGGACGTCAAGTTTTTAGCGACGTTTTTGAGTCGGGTGAACCAGCACGAGGCGGCGGTCATGAGCCAGAAGTTCCGCAATTTGCACGTCTACGGGTGCTGGTGGTACTGCAACAACCCGTCGATCATCGGAGAGATCACGCGCATGCGCCTCGAGCTCTTAGGCACGGCCTTCACGGCCCAGCACAGCGACTGCCGCGTCCTCGAGCAGCTCATCTACAAGTGGGCCCACTCGCGGCGCGTCGTCGCCGACGCGCTCGCGGACCAGTACGAGCATCTCGTGCGGACGGGCTTCACGCTCAGCCGCGCGGCCGTCGAGCGCGACGTCGAGGCGCTCCTCGGCGGCGCCTACGAGGCCTTCCTCGCCAAGTAAGTTACTTCTTCGGCGTGTCGACGACGACGCCGTTCATCATGAACCAGTAGTAGCCCTGGCAACAGAAGAGGAAGACGCAGAAGGGCACGAAGAAGACGCGGCAGACGATATCGCACTGGAGGCTCCGGGGCTCGTCGAAGAAGGCGCGGTTCCGGATGAAGAGCGCGTGCTTGTCGTAGGAGTGGAGGAAGCTGAAGAACTGGGCGAAGGTCAGCGTGTCCGTCTCCGGGTCCGCGTGCTCCCGGAGGTGGTACCTGTGTGCAAATCAACGAGTGGAACGCCCTGTCCAGCAAAAACTTCAAACCTCTCTATCTCGATCAAATGGAAGTCGATTTGGCTGATTTTTGGACGAATCGATTGCTCTCGTCGAGTTTTCGAAGCACGGCGAAAGAGTCTGGTCCGAACCGTTATATTTCGCGCACATTGAAGTCGGGTTGAAGATTTGATTTGCACACGGGGTGGTACGCGCGGATCTCGAGGCCCGCGTGCGCCGCGGAGCAGAAGATGGAGTAGTGGCGCAGCGCCATGCGCATCTCGGCCTCGTCGATGACGCCGTCGCCGTTGCGGTCGTGGCGGTGGAAGACCTCGGCGAGGATGTCGAGGGACACGATCGGCGGCGGCGGCAGCGCGGACGTCGACGCCGCGGCCGCGTCCGCGGCGTCGCGCGCGGCGTACTGCGCCTCGAGGGACTCGTCGATGAGGCCGCCGACGTGCTCGGCCCAGTGCTCGAGGGCCTCGCCCACGGGCCGCGCGGTCCGGTCGCCCCCGCGCTCGTTCCGCTCCGCGGCCTCGGCGCGCGCGCGGCCGCCGTCGCCCTTCGCCTCGCCGGCCTCGACCTCGGCGTCGTCGGGGAGCGCGCCCGGCGCGAGTGGGGCGTCCGGCGCCGGGACGAGGTGCGCGGACTTGGAGTTCTCCAGGGAGAGGAGCGTGTTCAGCGACGCGCGGTGCTTGCGGGTCGTGGACACGCGGGGCTTCGCGGCGCGGTCCCAGACGGACGCGCGCCGCGCCTTCGCCGCGTGCTCGCTGAGCCGCCGCTGGAAGGTGCGGATCCGCGACGCGCGCTGCGCGGCCCGCGGCGCGCGCCGCCGGAGCGCGGACTCGTCGATGGACTGGATGCGCACGAGGTGCAGGCGCCGCGCCGTGCCCGCGTGCTCGTGGCTCAGGAAGTACTGGACGAGGCCGTAGTGCAGCGTGCAGGCCCAGGTGATGTAGCTCGCCAGGTTCACGAAGCTGACGAGGTAGACCGAGTAGGACACGCGCTGGATCTTCTCGAAGACGTCGGAGCTCAGCGTGAGCATGATGAGCACGGGCACGACGGAGATGGCGACGCGCGCGGGCGCGACGTGGCGGTCGACGAAGAAGCCCGCGTACTGGATGAAGAGGAAGAGCACGCAGGGGATCATGACCGTCGACACGTAGTAGGCGCTCCGTCTATAGACCTCGACCTGGAGCGTGACCTCCATGAACTGGGACCCGCCGAGGTACATCACGAGCGTCTCCCAGCCGCGCCGCGGGCCGAGCTTCCACGTGTTCTGCACGTTGTACTTCGCATCGTCGATCTCCACGGGCCCGCCGGCCTGGGGCAGGAGCCGCAGCTGGACGGACGTCTCGTCGTTGATGTACATGCCGTAGACGATCTCGCACTTCTGGGTGTCGAAGGGCATCTTGGTCACCTGTGTGGAATTCAACCACTGGTTTGGGTGGTCCTGACCAAACTTGAGAATTCTCTAGCTCGGTCAAATCGAAGTCGATTCGGCTGATTTTTGGACGAATCGATTGCTCTCGTCGAGTTCTCGAAGCACAGCCGAAGAGATTGCGTCGAAACGGTCGCATATGCTCACATTGAAGTCGGGTTGAAGATTTGAATTCCACACAGTTGGTCACGTCGAGGCGGCAGGTGAGCTCGTCGTTGACGAGCCGGCTCTCGAAGACCGTGCCGTCCGGGTAGACCCAGATGCCCCCCGCGAGCTGGTGGCCGTCGACCCACCGCGCCAGGTTCTTCACGTAGGGGATGGGGCGCCAGAGGTAGGTCCGCCACTCGTACGCGCCCAGGTAGACGTAGGCGACGTCGCACCCGGCGGGCACGTCGTAGGCGAGCCGCGGGTCGACCCACTGGGTCCGCTGGAAGTAGCGCGGGCTCCAGTTCGTGTTCGCCTCGTCGAGCGAGAAGCCGAGCAGGAGCGCGCCGACCTGCACGAGCTCCGGCGGCGCGTTCGGGCTGCCCGTCGTCGCCTCGAGCGGTCGGAGCGTCCGGTCGTAGCCCAACGCCTCCCAGGCGGCCTTGAGGCCCCCCGTGTCCAGGTTCGTCCGGTTGCCCACGGTGACGCCGCAGAGGGCGCCCGTGGGAGCCGCCGTCGGCGACGCCGCGGCGGCCGCGGCGAGGAGCGCGAGGCGGGAGGCGCCGGGCGCCATGTTAAGCCTCGAGACTTCGCGCGGGCGCGCGCCGCCGCTTCACGTCGGACGGCGCGTCCACGCGAGCGGTCGCACCGCGCGGGAGAGACGCGACCCGGATCCCGCGGCGGAGCTAGAGGGATGGCAGCATCGGGCTGCCCATTATTAGACTCGTGCAACCCGTTACAGCTAGTTAGCAATAACGCGATAACACCCTAGCTAGCCAATCAAATAACACTAATAACACCCTGCCGATGGCAGCCACTCGATTTTTCAAAATCAATAACACCCTGGCGAAAATTCTCGATAACACCCATAACACCCAGCCACCCGATCCTTAAAAAGCCAATAACGACCTAACGCCCGTTAGCGGGCGACCGTCCGAGGCCAATAACGCCCTAACGGACTAACGGGTTGCACGAGCCGACATTATCTGCGGGGGAAGCTTGGCCTGATCGGGCTGCCCTGCTCTCCTTGAAGACTTGCTTGAAGATATTGTGGCATTTCCCGGCGCGCGGCATGTTCTCGAAGCTATAGCTGAAAACCCAAGCAATTGCAGCCACGCTTCCACGATGCAGGCCGTCGTCGTGACGGACGAGGCGGCGGATCCCGAGGCCGCGGCCGCGAAAGTGCTCCCGCCGAAAGCGCACAAGACGAGCCTCTGGCGCTGGTGCGCCCTCGCGCTCGTCGTCGCCGGCGGCGTCGTCGCCGTGGGCCTCGTCGTCGGCGACCCCCGCGCGCGCGGCGGCGGCGACGACGACGACGGCGGCGGCGACGCCGAGGCCTACGTCACGGGCGACATGACCGTCGAGGGCATGACGCTCGAGGACGCGCGGGCCAACGAGGCCGTCTTCGTCGCCGCCGTCGCGGACCTCGCGGACGTCCAGGAGGAGTACGTGGAAGTGGCGATCTCGGCCGCGCGCCGCCGCCGCCTCACGGACGCGGTCACGGTGGACTACGCGATCGCGATGCCGACGACGGACATGGCCGACGACCTCGCCGCGGCCATGTCGTCGCTGACCACGAGCGACGTCGACGCGGCCCTCGCCGCCTCGGCGTCGGACGCCGGCGCGTCGTCGACCTTCGCGGCCGTCGCGTGCTCGGACCTCTCGGAGCCCGAGTCGGCCGCCGCCGCCGACGGCGGCGGCGACGCCGCCGCCGCCGACGACGCCGTCGCGGCGCTCGACGCGCAGGCGGCGACGTTCACCGCGACGATCGCCGTCGAGCGCTTCGGCGGCTGCGACGCGCTCCTCGAGTCCAAGGACGCGTCGCGCGCCTCGAGCTGGTGCCCCGTGCCCGCGGCCGTCGACGAGAACGCGCCGCGCGCGATCCGGCGCGTGCGCGGCGGCACGTGCGGCTGGCGGGGCTACCCGGTCATGTTCGGCGCGCCCGAGCTGCTGCGGAGCGCGGAGGACGGGGCCGCGGCGGACGCGAGCGCCGGCGGCGCCGCGGACGACGGCTTCGCGGACGCGAGCGCCGGCGAAGCCTTTAGCGGCACGAACGCGCAGGAGGAGGGCGTCGACGAGGCGGACACGGTCAAGGCGACGGCCGAGGGCTACGTCTTCGTCGTCGGCGAGGTCCGCGGCGGCGAGGTCGACTCCGGCGGCGCCTACGAGGACTGCCTCCACCGCCTGAGCGTCGTCCGGGACGACGGCGACGGCGTCGAGCTCGTCGCGTTCGTCGACCTCGGCCCGCTCGTGACGACGCCCGAGGCCATGTTCGTCCACGGCGACGTCCTGCTGCTCTACGGGTCCGCGGAGCTCGACTACGAGGACGAGGACGAGGAAGACGACGCGCCCTACTGGTGCCGCGGCGGCTCCGAGGCCGCGACCGTCGCGCTCGCGTTCGACGTCTCGGACCGCGAGCACCCCGTCCTCCTCCGGCGCCAGATCTTCGAGGGCCGCTACGTGACCGCGCGCAAGGTCGGCGACTTCGCGTACCTCGTCGCGTCCAAGTCGGCCTGGTACGCGGCGCCGCGCGCGTCCGTGCCGTTTTACCGCGACGAGACCTTCGACGACGGCTTCGCGATCGACGTCGACGACGGCGGATCCTACGCCGAGGCCGCGGGCGCCGCGGGCGACGCCGTCGCGGTCTGCGCCTGCGGCGACGTCCAGTACGTCACGGCCGTCGAGACGGCGCTCGACGACTTCACGGTCGTCGTCGCCGTCGACGTCTCGGACGTCGCCGCGGCCAAGGCGGCGCCCTCGACCAAGACCGTGCTCGCGAACCGCGCGGCGGACAGCGCCGTCTACTGCAGCAAGGAGAACCTGTATCTGGCCCAGACGGAGTGGGCCGAGGGCGACGGCGAGACCTACTACCGGACGGCGATCGTGCGCCTCGCGCTCGACGGCGCGGACGTCGCCTACGCGGCGTCCTACGCGGCGCCGGGCACGCTTTTGAACCAGTTTAGCCTCAGCGAGTCGGCCCTGGACGGCACGCTCCGCGTCGCGACGACGTCGCGCGAGGGCTCGTGGGCCGACACGTACAACAACGTCTACGTCTTCGACGAAAGCGGCGCGCGGCTCGGCGCGGTCGTCGGTTTAGCCCCCGGCGAGTCCATCAAGTCCGCGCGGTTCACGGCGACGCGGGGCTACCTCGTGACCTTCGTACAGACGGACCCGCTCTTCACGATCTCGCTCGACGACCCGGCGAACCCCTACGTCATGGGCGAGCTGAAGATCCCGGGCTACAGCGCCTACCTCCATCCCATCAACGCGTCCCACATGCTCGGCGTCGGCCGCGCGGCCGACGAGAAGACGGGCGTCGAGCGCGGGCTCCAGTTCTCGCTCTTCGACGTCTCCGACGAGCTGAACCCGCGGCAGGTCGCGGTCGTCGAGGTCGGCGACCGCGGCTCGGCGTCCGAGGCGCTCAACGACCACAAGGCCTTCCAGTTCTGGTCCGCGGGGGACCTGCGGGCCGCCGGGCTCGACCGGTCGACGGGCGTCTTCGCCTTGCCCGCGTCGCTCGCGAGCCTCTCCGCGCGGCTCGAGCTCGCGGACGACGACTGGACGGCGACGAGCCAGTGGACGTCGGGGCTCACCTACTTCCAGGGCCTCGCGCTCTACGACGAGATGCTCCGGCCCGTCGCGAACGTGTCGCACCACGAGCCGGGCTTCTTCGACCCCGTCTACGACGACGCCTACGACTACTGGCGCACCTACCGCAACTCCCACGACTCGGGCGCGCACGTGACGCGGTCCCTCCGCCGCGGCGCGGACATCTTCTCCTTCTCCGACAACCACGTCCGCAAGACGACGCTCGACGGCGCGCTCGTCGGCGAGGCGTTCCTCGCCGCGGACTTCGCCACGGACGACGCCGACCGCTACTCCTACGGCGGCTGGTACTACGGCGGGGGGCACGGCTGGTACTTTTAGCTCTGTTCTTAGTCGTCGCGCTCGCTGCGCCAGAAGGCGAGGACAAGGGAGAAGACGTCGTCGGGCGTCTTCAGGAAGAGCCGCTCGTGCGCGCGGACGCTCGACGACGGCGCCGCGCGGCCGCGCTCGCGGAGGGCCGGGAGCCGCTGGCGGAGGGCGAGGAGCTCCTTGCGCGGCGCGTTGACGTAGGGGAGCCAGCCGCCCGCGGCGCGGACGGCGGCGAGGAAGTCGGCCAGGGCCGTGTGGCCGCGGTATCGCGCGAGGGTCTCGGGGTCACCGGCGTGATAGACCTCGCGCGCGTCGAGCGACGCACCGCGACTCAGGAACAGTCTGCACATCGTGGTGTGATTGTCCATGGCTGCGAAGTGGAGCGCGGTCCGACCATTCCAATTTCGATCTTCTACTCGCGCGCCCGCGTCGAGCAGCAGGACTGCTGCGTCGCGTTGGCCCAAATCAGCGGCGATGTGCAGCGGTGTCCAGCTAATGTATGGCCGACCCAAGTGGACGTCGGCACCGCGTTCAAGAAGATGTTTTATGGCCGTGCACCAGCCTCGACGAGCTGCACAAAACAGGCGCGTCTGTCCAATCGGTGTATCCTCGATGCGCACGCCACCACTTCCGTCGCGTGTCACCATAACGAGCGCATCAAGATCGCCGCCCGACGCGTGATAGCGGACAATCTGGTCGATGAACGAGCGCTCCTCAGAGCTGACCATCTCGTCTCGACGACCCGGGGCTGCTGGCCAAAAGTGAAGGGAACCTTTGGCATACCTAGGTAAAGCAAAAGGTAACTGTCGGAAGCTCAGCCCATTGGCCTCACGATGGTCCTCGTGCGGTTGCTGGCGCTGGCGGCGGGCGCGTCGGCGCTCGCGGCCCGCAACGTCAAGGTCGACGGCCAGAAGTTCGTCGTCGCCGCGACGGGCGAGGAGATCGTGCTCTCCGGCCCCAACGTCGTCGTCAAGGGCCCGCCCTGGCTGCCCTCCGTGGCCGGGGACGCCGTCTGCCGCGACAGCGTCAACGACACGTGCGCGCGCCGCCCGCGCCGGAACACGCGAAAAGAAAGCACCCTTGAGCGCGCCGCCGCCGCAGGCCGCGGCGGGCACCTGCGAGAGCTGCACGACGTTCAACCAGGCCGACGTCGACAACGTCTTCGCGAACGGCTGGAACGCGATCCGCCTCTCCGTCGTCTGGGCCGGCGCGGCGGCGGCGCCGGAGAGCTCCGCCGAAACCGTCGAACGATGCCCTTGAACCACAGGCGCGCAGCCGGCGGACGGCGACGCGCTCGACGCGGACTTCCTCGAGCGGCTCCACGCGATCCTCAACCTCACGGACGCCAACGGCCTCCACGTCCTCCTCGACAACCACGGCGACATGGTCGGCACGGCGGGCTGCGGCAACGGCATGCCCATGTGGTTCCAGCAGGAGGCGCCGGCCCGCGCCGGGCGACGATCGTCGTCCGACGCGTCGACGCCGCGCCCCCCCGCGCGCGCAGGCCGCGCCGGACAAGATCGGCAAGCCCCTCGAGACGGACTTCCCCTACTCCTGGGTCGACGGCCTCGACATCTCCGACCAGGACGGCTACAAGACCTGCGGCGACGACGAGGCCAAGTGGGCGGAGTTCGCGGGCGACCCGCTCTACAACCTCAAGAACCCGCGCGGCGCCGCGCGGGACGCGACCTTTGCGCGCGCGCGCGCCGCTCCGGAGACGGGGTGTACGCGTCGCGCGCGGGGACAAACGCCGCCCCTCGCCAGGTGCTGCCAGGCCATGAACGCGGGCGGGAACCCCGGCTACCTCGGCTACACGACGATCCAGGTCGACTCCATGGCCTACGCGCTCGAGGAGGGCGCGGGCCGCGACAAGTTCGCCAAGTTCTGGGGCCTCGTCGCGGCCGCCGCCGCGGACCACCCGTCCGCGTTCGGCGCGGAGCTGATGAACGAGCCCATGTCGATCCACCGCCGCGACATGTTCAACGCGTGGAAGGCCGCCGCCGAGGCGATCCACGCCGCCGTGCCCGACATGGCCGTCGCGCTCGCCGACGTCGGCGAGGCCGCGATCCTGCCGGACTGGATCGACAAGTACGTCACCGCGGGCCTCGACATCGACAGCGACACGACGGACTGGATCAAGGCGTCGGGCTACCTCTTCTACGCCTTCCACTGGTACGCGACGCCGAGCGACATGCACGACGCCGTCGACCGCGTCAACGACATCCGGACCGACTGGGACGTGCCCGTCTTCTCGACGGAGAGCGGCAAGAACTGCGACTACCGCGACCTCCTCCGGAACAACTCCATCTCCTGGACCTACTGGCACTACTCCGATTATTGCAACACGGGCGCCGACTTTGGCAACCGGCCCGTCAACGAGACCTTCGGCGCCTGCATCCTCGGCTGGGGCTCCGGCGACCCCGGGCCCGTCTGCCCCTGACGAGGGGCGCGTGTATCGCCCGCCCGCGCGGCGTCCTAATCACGCACGTGGACCTCTCAAAAGAGCGGCCGGATCGCGGGTTTTGCGGCGGCGAGGACGGCGCCGTCCGCCGGGTAGACGACGCGGACCACGCAGGCACCGGTGGGGACGCCGCTCACGTCGATCTCGTTCGCGCCGGGCCGCCGCGTCGGCGCCGTCGTCAGGCGGACCGCGTAGCGCCCCGCGCCGTCCGCGGCGAGCGTCTCGTCGTCGAGGTACTCGGGCAGCGGAAGCGCGTCGAAGCCGTAGCAGGTCACGGACGTGTAGCGGAAGACGGGCGCGCCGCGGCCGTCGAGCCAGGCGAGGCGGCCCGAGACCTCGACGTCGCCGCGCGTCGCGTCGTAGAGCATCGTGAAGTACCTGCGCGCGCGCGCGCGTCGGGGCCCGAAGAACAACGACTTTCGGGGGCGCCGCCGCGCGACGCGTGCCTGCTGCTGCCGCCGAGCGACGCGCGCGCCGCGGGGAGCGCGACGGTCTCGTTGGGCACCATGGACCGCTCGCCGTAGAGGCGCCGCCTTGTGCGCGCGGCGACGCGGCCCAGGAGCGCGCGCCGGAGCGCGGCCGCGGCGCCCGCCGCGAGCGCGAGCTCCGGCGCCGTCGCGACCAAAGACAGCGCGCAGTTGGCCCGGACCACCGCCGCGAGGCGCGCCGCGGGGCCGCCGCGCGCCGCCGCGCAGGGCCCGCCGACGCGCGTTTCGGCCCGCGCGGGCCAGGCCGCGCCGGACGCGTCGAGGAGCGTCGGCGCGGCCCACGCCCGGCCCGGGCGCACGCGGAACGCGCGCATGACGAGGAGCTTGACGCGCGTCGCCGCGCCGGAGTCGATCCAGCGGGCGCCGTTCGTCGGTTTGTCGCCGGAAATGACGAGGGTGAATTTTCCGTCGCCGTCGAGCTCGAACTCGCGGTCGCAGATTATCGATTCCGCGCTCACGCCGTCGTCGCCCTTGGCCTTGTCGAAGAAGCACTGGATGCTCCAGTAGACGCACTCGGGCGGCACGCCGCGCACCGTCGCGGGCAGCGGCAGCGACGCCACGATCGCGTTGTGGTCGTTGAGCTCCGGGAACGGGCCGACGAGCGCGACCGTCGCGTCGTCCGCGGCCGTGGCGTTTCCTGGGATATTTGAGATCCAGTTCGGCAGCGGCAGGAAGGACGCGAGGCGCGAGTAGCGCCGGGCCAGGGCCGCGCAGCGGAATCGGAGCCGCGACAGGAGGACGAGGTCGACGAGGTCGCTGTGGAGCGCGAAGTCGAGCAGGGCGCAGGCGGCGACGACGGCCAGGGCCGGGCGCGCGGACCGGGGCACGCCGTTGAGGCGCAGCGAATGCGGGATGCGTCCGATGCCCAGCGGGAAGCGCAACGAGGCGAAGAGCGCGTCGCGGAGTGCCATACTCGCGAAGATCCGCGGGCTGCCCCGCCGCTTGAGGCTCATGCTGCCGATGTCAAGGCTAGCGCTCATGCTGCCCAATTCTCGCGAATCCTCTCGCGATGCTCTCGTCGCATCGTGCGCGCCTCGGCTGCGCCGCGTGCGTCGCCGGCGGCGCGTCGCTGGCGGCGCTGCTGCTGGCCTGGCGCCCCCACGAGTCGACGGTCGTCAAGCTGCGAGGCTACGTCCATTTATACAATTGGCTCTACCGCAACGACACGTCGTCGGACGCCGCCTGGGAGCGCCGCCTCGGCGAGCTCCTCGAGGCGGCCCTCGCGGCCGAGCGGGCGGCCTTTGGCGACGACGCGAACGCCGACGCCGCGAAGCGCGCGCTCTTCCGGGCGCAGCTCGACGGCCTCACCGGTCCCGGCAACCGGTTCAGCGCGCTCGGCCGCGCGCTCGCGCGGAAGGACCTCGTCGCGACGCTCGCGCGCCGCAGAGCCTTCGCGGACCGCTGCGCCGCGGCGGGCCCGCTGCCGCCCCTCGCGGGCGTCGTCGTGATCGCGGGGCTGCCGCGGACCGGGTCCACGTTCCTCCACCGATTGCTCGCCGTCGACGAAGGCACGCGGTCGCCGCTCTGGTGGGAGCAGATGCACGACGACCCGGCGCCCGCGGCCTCGCCCGACGACCCGCGCGCCGCGGAGGTCGCGAGGGCGCTGCGAGGCCTGGCCGCGATCTCGCCGAACGCGCTCTCCGAGTTCGACAAGTTCCACAAGCTCGGCAGCGGCGAGGTCGAGGAGTGCGCGCCCTTCCTCCGCCGCTACTACAACGACATGGACAGCGTGCTCTTCGCGCCCCGCGCGCTCGACGCGCGGTCCAGATGGCTCCGGGACCCGGCGGTGGACAAGTCGTTCCTCGCCCGGCACCTCGTCGCCTGGCTCCGCCTCCAGAACGCGGACGAGGCCTGGATCCTCAAGGCGCCCCTCTTCACCTACTTCCTCGACGAGCTCGAGGCGGCGCTCCCGCCGTCGACGACGTTCGCGTTCACGAGCCGCGACCCCCGGAGCGTCGTCCCGTCGACCTGCGGCATGGCCGAGGTCTCCGCGGCGCTCAAGGCCGACTGGACGACGCCGGACTTCTTGCACCTGCTCGGCGAGTCCGTGGCCGACCGCCTCGCGGCCTGGGCGGGGCTCCAGGCGGACTTCGCCGCGCGGCGGCCGGACGCGGTCCGCGTCGCCTACGACGACCTCGTCGCGGACCCCCTCGCCGTCGTGGAGCTTATCTACGCCGCCTCGGACCGGACCCTGACCCCGGAGACGCGCGCGGCCATGGACCGCCACCTCGCGGAGAACAGGCAGCACAAGCACGGCCGGGCGGCCTACTCCCTCGCCAAGTTCGGCCTCGCGGACCTGTCCCGGTTCGACGCGTACGCGGCGACCTTCCTTTAAGGGAGCCACATGGACCCCATGGCCCAGGCGCTCAGGGACGCCGTCGCGTTCGCCGGCGCGAGGAGCGCGACGGCGCCCCCGGCGCCGTAGGCGCGCGACGCGACCCGCGCGCGGCCGCCGTCGAAGAACGCCTCGCCGACGCTCCCGTCGACGAGGACGCGGACGCGCAGGAGCTCCTGGGTCGCGGGGATCGACAGGAAGCCCGCGCCGCCGGTGCCCTCGACGCGGCCGCGGACGAGGCCGCCCGCGGCGCCCAGCGGCGTGAACGTGTAGGCGAAGGTCCCGTTCTGCGCCGCGACGCCGACGGGCCCCGCGGCCCAGCCGCGGAAGTCGACGACGACGTCGAGGTGGCGCCCCGCGACGCCCGCGGCGGCCCACGCGCCCGCGCCCGCGGCGGACGCGTTCGCCGCGAGCGCCGCGGTTCGAAGGGCCGCGAGCTCCGCGACCGGGTTCACGAGCACGCTCGTCGACGGGTCGTCGGCGCGCGCGGGCGCGACGACGCGCGGCGCGGTCTGCGCGCCGAGCCACGTCTGGTTCTCCGGCGTCTCCGCCGGCTCGTCGAGCCAGGCGTACTGTATCCGCCGCCCGTCGGACGTCTCGTAGCCCTTGGGGTACTTGGCCGCGCCGTAGTCGTAGGCGAAGAAGCTCGCGTTCGCCGTCGACCCGGCCGCGAGCTCCGCGGCGACCGCGCGCGCGCGCGACCCCGAGACGGTAAACGTCCGGTTCTCGCCGAGCTCGCCGACGACCGCGCCGCCCGACGCCAGGTGACAGCCGAACGAGTTGATGCCGAAGACCCACCGGTCGGCCAGGGGGTAGAAGTCGGAGCAGGGCACCGCGCACGCGGCGCACGCCGGGCAGTCGAGCGCGCCCGCCTCGTCCCACGCCACAAAGTCCGCGGACGCGAAGAATTTCACCGCGAGCGGCCGGCCGCCCTCGATGGTCGTCGTCCAGGTGCCGCCCTCGCGCCACGCGGCCGTGCAGCCGAGCGGGCCCGCGAGCGGGCCGCCGCGGACGTCGCCGTCGAGCGGGTTGCGCGGGTCCTTCGCCCACGTCACGAGGTCCGGGTCGTCGGGGTCCGCGGGCCGGGCGCCGGCCATGTGGCTGCCGGGCATGGCCGGGTAGGTCGCGACGGGGCGGCCGCCGACGACCGTGACCGAGCCCGTGAAGACGCCCTGGGCGTCGTAGGGCGTCGGCGACCCGTCTCCGTCGACGCCCGGCACGAGCGCCGGCGGCAGGCACGTCGCGTGGCTGAGGTTGCCCGCGACGTGGCCCCAGGAAATGAGGCGGCCGCCCGGTCCCGGGCCGGGCGTGTCGTCCCTGGCGTACTGGTAGAAGAGGTGGTGCCTGCCTTTGAATTCGAAGGGGGCATTGGGGTCGTTGAGCCAGCCGCCGCCGCAGCCCGCGGGCGACACGTGGAAGATGGGCGCGTAGATGTCGTCATGAGTTGCCACCGCCGCTACTAGCAGGCTCGTCCACAGCGTCATTAATGAAGGCAGCCCCAGAATGCTGAAGTGACGGACCATGCCGCAAGCGGAACCGGCTAAGTTGGACTTCAAGCTCAGTTCACGTTGACTTCGACTTGAAGGGGTTGTTCACTTGGTTGTTCACTTGGTTGGCCTGCCCGGTCCCGAGGCTCGGAAAACAAAAAAAACACGCTTACAGACCCACGAGCGCGAGGCGCGCGCGCCGCTCCGCCGGCTTCCAGTAGCGCGCGAGGGGCCGGGGGACGCGGCCGCCGCAGTAGAGCACCGCGAGCCGCGCGTCCGCGTCCCGCGTCCGCGCCGCATAAAAACACTCCGCCGCCGCGGCCAGGTCCACGGGCACGCCCGGCGCGTCCGCGAGGTAGAGCCGGCCGAGGACGCCCGCGGCGGCCGCGGGCGCGCCGTTGCTCGCCGCGCGGCGGAGGAGCTGCACGGCGTCGCGCGCGCGGCCCGGCGCGGCGTCGAGGAGCGCCTCGGCCGCGTCGACGCAGGCCGGCGCGTGGCCCAGGGCCGCCGCGGCGTCCAAATCGCGCGCGTCGCCGCCGAGGGCCCAGCACGCGTGGGCCGCGCCGCCGTCGCCGCCCGCGGCCGCGCGCCGGAGCCAGCGCCGCGCCGCGGCCTCGTCGCGCGCGGCGCCGTCGCCGGCGAGCAGCGCGCGGCCGAGGTAGCGCTGGGCCGCGGCCTTGCCCGCGCGCGCCGCGGCGCGCCAGGCGCCGATCGCCGCCGCCCGGTCGCCGCGGCCGTGGCGGAGGACGCCGAGGTTCAGCGCCGCGTCCGCGGAGCCGCGAGCCGCCGCGGCCTCGTAGGCCGCCTCGCCCTCGGCCTCGAGGGCCGCGCGCTCCTCGGCGGTCGCGGCGCTGCGCGCGCGGACGCAGGCGCGCGCGCCGACGTTGTAGAGCGCGTCCGCGTCGCCCCGCGCGGCCGCGCGGTCGTACCAGGGCGTCGCCGCGTCGCGGCAGCAGCTCCGGGGCTTGAACCAGCACACCAACGAATAGCGGCTCCCGCGGTCGACGCGGACGCCGTGGCGCAGGTCGAAGCCGTGCGCGAAGCCGTCGCCGCGGGCTAAGGGAGCGAATCGCGCCGAGGCGGGGCGCGGCGTCGGCTGCGCGTAGTAGCCGCCGTCGTAGTCGTCCGCGTCGTTGAGCGCGACGACCAGGGTGACGAACGCGTGCGCGTCGAAGTGCGCGGGGTGTTTCCGCCGCTCCGACGGCAGGTAGCGCCGCACGAGGGCCTGGTAGGGCTCGAGCGTCGCGCACTTGAAGCGCTCGCGGAGGTACGGCAGCGCGCGGCCGAGGAGCGGCCGTTCCAGCGCGCGGCACGCGCCCTCCGAGAGCACGTCGCCCCTGTCGAAGATGAAGCATTCGAAGGTCGGCTCGCGGTCCACGGAGTCGGGGCCGCGCGCGAAGTCGAGGGTGCAGGCGAGCAGGCGCCGCGTCTCGTCGACGCTGAGGAGCGACGGCAGCGCGAAGGCCTTGGGAGCGACGGCGGCGCGGCGCTCGACGACGCCCGCTGGGCCGACGCGCGGCTCGCCGAGGGCCATTTTTGGTAGGCCCATTGTTCGCGCGCTGCGACGCGTCGCGCGCGACGGAGGACGCTGCGCACGACGGAGAACGTTGGCGCGACGACAGAGGACGCTGCGCACGCTGCGGCGCTCTCGAGAGGCGAGGCAGCCCAGTACCTTGTCGTTCAATTGAACTCAATGTGCACAATAACGGTCATGATCCCATCGAGACGCATTGTTCATCAGAAGACCATGTCCCGCGTCGTAGCAGCCCTCCTCCTCCTCCTCGGGCCGGCGAGTGCCGGGCTCGAATGCACGCTCTGCAAGAGCGCCATGGAAAAGGTGGACGAATCCGTGTTGGACGTCAACGCCACGGCCGTAGTGGAGTCCACGTGCGAGAAAGTGCCCGACATCCTCGGGGCCCGGGCCAAGTGCGTCGAGGAGGCGAGCGCCGCCGTGGACGACATCCTCAACAAAACCGTCGCTACGGCCCTGGACCCCGAGACGGCCTGCGAGTGCCTCGGCGCCTGCGACGGCGGCGACCGCGCGCGCGCCGCCGTCGGTTCCATCGAATGCGCGCTCTGCGAGGCGGCCGTCGAGGCGACGGACGCGGTGCTCAAGCTCAACGCGACGCAGGCGGCCCTCGAGAAGCTCGCCGACGAGGCCTGCGCGGCCCTCGGCCCGCTCGCGGGCACCTGCGAGAAGCTCTTCGCGGGCTCCATCGACGGCATGGTCCAGTGCGAGGTCGCGACCGCGCTCGCGCCGGCGACCTTCTGCGCCTGCTAGCCGGGGGTTAACAGCGCGCCGCGAGGCGGCGGAGCTCGCCCGCGGTCGCGGCGGCCTCGGCGTCGTCGCGCGCGCGCTGGCCGTCGAGGCGCGCCTCGCGGTCGGCGTCGAGGCGCGCGGCGACGTGGCGCCGGAGGGCCGGCGAGCCGACGCGCTTCGCGAGCTCGACGGCGCCGTGGTCGAGCCTCGCGCGCGCGTGGAGGAGCGCGTGGGCGACGTCCTCGTGGCGCTGCTCGAGCGCGAGGCGCAGCGGCGACTCGGCGCCCGCGCGGTCGACGACGGCGCCGCGGCGCAGGAGCAGCTGGACGGCGCCCACGTGGCCGTGCTTCGCGGCCAGGTCCAGCGCCGACCGGCCGCTGGACGCGCGCGCGTCCGCGTCCGCGCCGCCGTCGAGGAGCGCCTCCGCGGCGTCCGCGGCGCCGCGACGCGCCGCGAGGTGGAGCGCCGTCGTCGCCGTCGGCGCGGCCGCGTGGGCCGCCCCGCCGGGCCAGGCCTCGAGGAGGAGCGCGACGAGCGCGGCGTCGCCGGCGTCGGCGGCGTCGAAGAGCGGCGGGAAGCCGCGGCGGTCGAACGCGCGCGCGGCCGCGGGCGCCGCCGCGAGCACGCGGCGCGCGGCCGCGGCGCCGCCGGGCCCGGCGACGGCCGCGTGGAGCGCCGTGCGGCCGTCGGACTTGCGCGTCGCGCCCGCGACGTCGACGCCGCGCGCGAGGAGGTCGTCGACGGCCGCGGCGTCGCCGCGCTCGCACGCGCGGAGGAGCCGGCTCGCCGGCGGCGGGCCGGCCGCGGGGGGGCGCCGCGGCGCGCGCGCGGGCCGCGGCGCGCGCGACGCCGACGACGCCGCCGACCGCGACGACGCCGCCGACCGCGACGACGTTGCCGACCGCGACGACCGGCCGCCGGACGCGGGCCGCCGCGGCGCGCGCGACGGCGCGGCCGCGAGGCCGGGGATGGCGAGCGGCGTGACGCCGGGCGGCGGCTTCGCCGCGGGGGCCGGCGGCTCGGCGGGGGGCTCCGCAGCGGTTTCCGGCGCGCCGGCCTCGGGGGCCTCAGTGGGCGCCGGCTCGGGCTCATCCGCCGGCGCGTCCTCGGGTGTCATCGGCGAAGGCGCGGGCTCGTCGACGGGCGAAGGCGCGGGCTCGTCGACGGGCGAAGGCGCGGGCTCCTCGACGGGCGACGCGGGAGGCTCGTCGTCGGGCGTTCGCGCCGGCTCGTCCTCGACGAACGGCGAGGGCGACGCGGCGGACTCCTGGCCCTCGACGAAGGGCGAGGGCGACGCCGCGGCGGCGAGCATCTCGTCGACGAAGGAGAGCGTCGACTGGATGCGCGTCTTGCGATCGACGATTTCGGGCTCGCTCGCGGCGTCGTCCTCCTCCGTCCGCGGCGGCGCCGCGGGACTCGCTTCGCTCTCGGTCGGCGGCGGCCCCAGGACGCCAACGTCGTGCTCCGGCGCGGCGACGTCGCCATCCGGGACGACGGCGCTCTCGTCCGGCTTCGGTTCGGGCGCGTCGCCGTCCGTAAAGGGCTCCGCGTCGTCCGCCGGCGACTCGGCCACTGCGTCGCGAACCGGCGACGCAGTCACTGCGTCGCCCGCCGGCGACTCGGCCTCCGCGTCGCCCGGTCGCGACCGAGCCGGCGACTCGGGAGCCGCGAGATCGCCGGCCGCCGCGGTCTCGTCGACCCCGGGCGGCGGCGGCGGCGTCGCCCCCGGCGGCCGGTCCGCGAGGGCCCAGCGGCGGAGGAAGGCGACGACCTTGACCTGGCGCGCCTCGCACGCGATGCCGACGACGTCGACTTTGTGCACGGTCCTCCACCGCGGGTCCGCGCCGAGATCGACGAGGCGCCGGACGGTCCCGACGTCGCCGACGGCGGCGGCGGCGTGGAGCGGCGTCCAGCCGTTGCCGTCGGCGTAGGCGAGCGCGGACGTCCGGAGGAGCGCGAGCGGCGCGCCGCGGCCGCGCTCCGCGCGGAGCACGGCCTCGAGGCGGCCGAGGGGCGCGTCGGCCGCGGCCGCGTCGCGGCGCGCGACGGCGCGGAAGAGCGCGCGGCCGAGGAGCCGGCCCCGGGCGACCTGGCGCCCGCGCGGCATGGGCGGCTTCGGCGGCGGCGGCGGCGCGTCCGCCGCGGCCGCGGCCGGCGGCGGCGGCCTCCGCGGCGCCGCGCGCCGCGCGGCGAGGTAGGCCTCGCAGGCGTGGTTGCCCGCGGCCCGGGCCGCGGCGAGCGCGCCGCGCGACGGCGCCGCGCCCGCGGCGAGGAGCCGCGCGCAGCAGGCGACGGCGGCCTCGTCCGTCGCCGCCGCCGCGGCCAATCGCAGCGGCGGGCCGAGCCGCGTCGACCCGATGCGGACCTTCGTCGCCGCGAGCGCCGCCCGGTCGGCGCCCGCGAGGCGGCCTTCGACGGCGCCGACGTCGCCGCGGCGGCAGGCGTCGAGCACGGCGAGGTGCGCGTCGAAGCCGGGCTCGCCCCGGTCGACGCACGGCGCGTCGTCGTCGTCGTCCGCTTCTTCTTCTTCCTCCGCCGCCTCCTCGGGCGCGTCGTCCCTGGCCTCGCTCTCCGGGGGCGGCGCGCCCGCGGCGTCGAGGGCGGCCGTCACGAAGGCGAACTCGGACTTCGACTCGTCCTTCGACTCGTCCTTCGTTTCGTCTTCGTCGTCGTCGCGTCGTCGCGCGGAAAGCCGCCGTCGCTGCCCGTCGGGCTCGGGCTCGGCCGGCCGACGGGGCTCGCGAGCGAGTCCGCCGGGCTCGCGGGCGGCCGCGGGCTCGCGCGCGGGCTGTCGCGCATCGCGGGGCTCCGGCGGTCGCCCGCGACGACGTCGAGCGCCGCGGCCGCGGCGGCCTCGTCCGGCGGCGGCGCCTCGCCGAGCGCTTCCCGCAGCTCCGCGAGCACGTCCCGGTTCTCGGGCCGGTAGAGCCAGTACTGGTCCGCCCGGTTGTCGTCGCCGCAGACGTGGCGCGTCGTCGCGTGCTCCCAAAACGACCGCGACGGGTCGAGATCCAAACCGCCGGGCGGGACGACCTCGGGCGTCTGCGCCCGGTACTTGGCCTCGACGGCGTCGAGCTCCGCCTCGCGCGCCGCGTAGCGCTCCGCGGCGAGCTTCTTGAGCTCCTCGGCCGTCGTGTGGAAGCCCGTGCCCGGCTCCACGTCGCCGGCGAGGAGCAGCGCGCGCGTGAGCTCCTTGTCGGTCGGTTGGCGCGATGTCTTTGTAGCGTCATTTGGCGTGCCGTCGTCGAGGCGCCGCGGCGCCAGCGATGCGTCGCGATCGTCGAGGCGCGACGACGCGAGCCGGCGCTTGCCGGTCTCCATGATGGATGAGCTGCCCGCTCATGTACGACGGCATCTTGAACTTCAAGCAAAGGGTGGAACCTGGTCGAAGCGGGAAGCATGGGCCGATAAATTAACCCTGCGCGCAGCGACCTGGACGCCTTCCTTCGAGCGCTGCAATGCTGCAGCTGTCCGTCGCGCTGCTGCGCCTGGCGGTGGCGTCCTCCATGGCGAGCTACCTCGTGCGCGACGAGTACTGCGGCACGCCGCTCACGGAAGGCGTCGACCTCATGGGCGCGCCGACGGTGGCGAGCGCCGGCGCGGACCTCGCGGTCGACGCGGCGGGCGCCGTGGCGCTGACGTCGGAGAAGTTCGCGCGCTACGTCGAATACGTGCTCGAGAGCGCCGGCGGCTTCGCGCGCTGCGACGGCGCCGTCGGCTGCGGCGGGACGCGCTGCGCGGTGCGGCGCTTCCGAGGCTCCCCGGCGGCCGGCGCGACGCTGGCGGCGGCCGGCGCCGTGCGCTACGCGTGGTCGACGTCCTACGGTGCTGTTGCGGTTGGTGTGGGAGGCGCGGCGGAGGCGTGCGACGCCGCGCCCGTGGCCGCGCTCGAGTGGACGCTCCGCGTCGGCTGCGACTTCAGCGGCTTCTTCGTCGAGCTCCTCGGCGTCGCCGCGGCGCTGGACGAGCTCCTCGGCGACCGGTTCTCCGTCGCGGGCGTGCGCTGCGACGGCGCCGCCGCGGCAAAGCTCCTGCCGGGGGAGGCGGCGGCGCTCGCGGCGGCGACGGGCCGCGCGGCCGCGCCGGGCGCCGCGCGCGTCGTCCACGGCCTCTGCGAGGCCGGCGACGCGGCGCCGGCCGTCGCGCGGCTCATGGTCGAGCGCGCCTACGCGCCGGGCCGCGACGACGAGATCTACGCCTGCGCGCGCCGCGCGGCCGCCGTCTGGGCGCCGACGGCTTGGGCGGCCGAGCAGTTCCGCGCCGCGGGCGTCGCAAACGTCGCCGTCGTGCCCGAGGCCGTCGATGCGGAGGCCATGTCGCCCGACGCGGCGCGCGCCGACGCCGCCGCGGCCGCGGCCGTGGCCGCGCGCCTCGGGCCGCGCCCCGCGTTCCGCGTCCTTTCCGTCTTCAAGCTCGAACGCCGCAAGGGCTGGGACGTGCTCCTCGACGGATGGTGGGACGCCTTCGACGGGACCGACGACGTCGAGCTGGTGGTCCACGCCTACAAGCCGTCGTGGATCCCCGGCGACGGCGTCGACGAAGCCGTCGCGAAGCGCCGCGCGCGACACGCGTGCTCCGGAAGCGCCGGCGGCTGCGCGCGCGTCGCGTGGCTCGGCGAGGTGTCGCTCGACCGGCGCGAGATGCGCGCGCTCTACGCCGCCGCCGACGCCTTCTGCCTGCCGACGCGCGGCGAGGGCTGGGGGCTGCCGGTCCACGAAGCGATGGCGATGGCGCTGCCCGTCGTCGCGACGAATTTCTCCGGCGTCGCCGCGCTCGCGGCGGCGGCCGACGCGTGGCTGCTGCCGCCGGGGGAGCTGCGCGGGGGCTTCGCGCAGCCGACGGCGCGCGACGTCGCGCGGGCGCTCCGCGACGTCGCCGGCGACCGCGCGGCCGCCGCGGACGTCGGGCGGCGAGGGCGAACGCGCGTCGCATCTTTGTTTTCTCCCGAGGCCGTCGCGCGCGCGATCGTGGCGGCAGTTGAGGATGTGTAATTTATCGTCGTTTTCGTTTTTTTAGCTTTTTTTAGCGATTCCACTCTTGTGGCAAATTTTAAACCAAGCGTGGAGATGGCGGCAACTTTGATGGGCGTGGAATTGAATGAGCTTAATAACGAAGCGCTGACTGACGCGGCTTTACGCGGCGATATCGAGACCATCCAAGCGTGGCTCAAGGCTGGGGGCGACGTGAACGCTGAAGTATTTTATCTAAATGATTTTGATGAGCGTAGAAAACCTACCCGCCTACTAAACCTTGCAGCTTGCCACGCCCAAGGCGAGTTGGTCCGCGTGCTAATCGCTAACGGCGCCGATGTCAACGTGATAGAGTCTCGGCACGGGGGGACAGCTCGGCACGGGGGGACAGGTGCCCTGCAACGCGCTGTCGTGGTTCCGTACCGCGATCCGACGGAAACTGCAAAGGCCCTCATAGAGGCAGGCGCAGAACTTTTCAACCAAGACCTCTCGGAACATGATCCTTCCGGCTACATTGCACGCTGCACAGAACTCCTGTTTAATGCTACACGGCACCCTGATATTTTACGCGCGCTGCTCCGCGCCGGCATACGCGTCGACGGGCGCGATGAAGACGGCGCAGATGTCGAGGAGTTTGTCCATAATGTCCACGAGAACATGACGATGCACTCGGATATTTATGGTTCGTTGGGACAGAAACGCATCCAGGCCTATTGGGAATCGGCGCGCATCCTCGAGGGCGCGCGTCTCGCCGGGAGCTACAAGCGCTACTTCCTCGCGCCGCACCACGGCATGCTCGCGCTCCGCGCCCTCGTCCTGCGCGGTCGCGCCGAGGCCTCCCCGTCGACTCCGCTCGTCGCGCGCCTCTTTGCCGGGACGACGACCGAAGTGGCACCGGACGGCGCGGCCGCGCCGTCGCTCCTGCCCGACCCGCTCTTCTTCCTCGTCCTCGAGTTCTGGCTCGGGGCGTACTAGGAAGCCCTCTCATGAATGCACACATCTCCCATCCTCGAGTTCTGGCCCGGGGATACACTAGCACACGACGCTCGAGGATGTGTAATTTGTAGTCGTGCGGCTATATCTCTCGGGCCAGAGTGCTCCAGGGAGAGGGCCAATTGCAGACGGGCGAGGCGTCGGGCGGCTCTCCTCTCGAGACTCTTGTGGAGCTCCTTGGCGACAGCAATGGGCGTTCAGTACGACTGCACGACGGACGAAGGTCTCGCTCAAGTCATCGCGTTGACGGCGCCGCCTGAACAGGCGTCTCTAGGCTTTGCCACGAAGGCAGAGGCTCTGAGAAAACACTTCGGCTGGATGAACAGCGACCGGGACCCTCTCTTTGCTGAGCGAGTCCTACGTGTGTGCGCGCCGTTCCATTTCATTCGCCTTCGCAGCGAGCTCCGCCGTGAGGTTCTCAGTTACGTAGTGGAGGTCTCGAAGGACGCCGCGCTGCGTCGTCTCGAGGCGTCCGCGGAAACGTACGTTCACGGACAACCGACGTACTTAAACCACGAGCCGCGCGGCCCGCCCGTGACCTTCCAGCCGGGCGGCGAGAAGATCCTCCGCGGGCCACGGACGTCGTCCGCAGCCGCATCCTTCGACACCCTCCTCTACCACCTCACGACGACGCGCGCGGTTTGCACCGCGGTACGAGGCGATATCGACGCCGTCGTCCGGCGGCCGGGCTCGACGGCGAGCGGTCGCGCCTGGCTCGAGCACCTCTACTGTCGCTGCGACGATGCGCTCAGCGCGGAAGACGTTGCTGATCAATTACGCCTGCGCGCTAAGCTCGGTCGCCGCGCGAACACGACGCGGGAACTGTACGCGCGAGCGGCGGAGGCCTTTGCCATCCAGACCGCGTGTGGTTCACATGCTCGTGAGTTTCGAGGCCACGCCGGTGCAGGCACAATGATGTTCACGCCTCCCGCAAGCTGGTCGGACGAGCGACGGAGCTTCGCGCGCCAATTTCTCTTCGAAGCGCAAAAAATCATCTCGCTTCGCGAGACCAAACTGCGACATGGATTCGAGGATCGGCGTCACTGGAATGGAAGCTTGCCCGATGCAGGACCCGGACTTGCCCATGGCCGTGTTTTGACGGTCGATGAAGCGAACGGTCACATGCCTTGCGACGTCGAGTTTCTCAAAACGATGACTGATGAAGCTTTCCGAGGCATCACCAATTTGTTCGGCCAGGCGCAGCGTCTCACGCTCGTGGTAGTCAACGTGCAAGTGTTGCATCGCGGTCCGTTTGAGTCGACTCCATCGGATGACGAGTTTGTTGCCCTCGACTCTGCACTCGACGCGTTCTTCGGAGACATTTCGACACGAGGCGATGGTTGGATCACCGCATGGACGAACATCTACCCTACGGCATACGATGAATGGCTGCGGAAAAGTCCCCCGGACGAGTTGTGTCACAACGCCTCGCGACCACCAGTCACGACGCTGCGAGACTATTGGAACGCGGAAGAAGGCGCAAGACACACTCAACAATTCGATCTCACGCGTGACATCTATAGTGGCAAGAAGTGTGTCTCACTCGTCGACATCGACGTTGATGAAGACGTCGGATCAGTCTTGCAGGCCCATGCGGACGAAGACAGGAGCCAAGCGGAGAAATTCTCTGGGAACTATCGCTTCTTGGATTCTCCCGTCACGGCCAAATGTCATACCGGCAGCCTCCGTTGCGAAACCGCCACGTTCAAGCTGAACACAACGCTGTCCGCGCGTCGTGATGCCCGCGACTTGATCAGCAAAGGCATTCTCTTTGTCCCTCTCGTGCCTGGCGTCTTCGACCTCTCGCTCCATTGCTTCATCCCGGGGCTGAACTAAGTCAAAACTAAGTTAGATCTTCATGCCCGCCACGGCCGCAAGCAACCGTTCGTCGGTGATGGGCCGCGGCGGCGGCGGCCGGGGCCGCGCGTTGTACGCGAACTTGGCCACGAGCGCGAAGCAGCCCACGGGGCACTCGAGGCGGAACATGATGCCCGCCTTGTTGTCGAGGAGCTTCGGCGGCTCCGCGGCGGCGAGCGCGCGCGCGGCCTTCTCGCGCGCGGCCGCGACGGCGCCGTCGCGCGCGTCCGTCAATTGTTTCAGCCGGTCGGCGACGAAGAGCCAGAGCGACCGCCGCTCCTTGGACTCGAGGCCGTCGACTCTGCCGACGTCGCCCCGGTCCAGGTCCCGCGCCTCGGCGATCGTCGTCGCGCCGAGCCAGCGGAGCGCGCGCGAGAACTGCTCCTCGCCGAGGCCCGCGGCGTCGAGGGCCGCCTGCAGCGGCGGATCCGAGGACTCTACGGCGGCCTCCGCGGCCTCGACGGCCGCCTTCTCCTCCTCGGCGGCGCGCTTCTTCAGCGTCGCCTTCGACGGGCCCTTCTTCTTCTTCTGCTCCTTGGCCTCGAAGCTCTTGACGCCCATGGCGACGGCGCACGCGCGCACCAAAAACAGGTCGAGCCGCCGCTGCGCCGCGAGGAGCCAGGGCGCCGCCCGGGCGACGAGCGGCCGCGCGACGCCGCCCGACGCCCACGCGTCCCAGGAGCCGGCGTTCTCGACGCCGTCGAGCATGCGCACGAGGCGCGCGCCCTCGTCGACGAGGTAGTCGAGCGGCACGCCGTTGCGCGCGTAGTAGGCCCGCTCCGCCTGCGTGCCGCCGACGAGCAGCGCCTGCCGCCGCCGCGCCATGGGCGCGAGCGTCATGCCCTCCGAGTTCTCCGCGTCGTGGCGCGCGCCGCGCGCAAGGAGGTAGGCGACGACGTCGTTGTGGCCCCAGATGACCGCCGTGTGCGCGGGACGGTTGCCCGCCTTCTTCTCCGGCGACTCGAGACCGACGCCGAGGTCCTCGACGAGGAACGGCAGCGTCGTCGCGACGTGGTTGTTCATGACGGCGCCGTGCAGCGGGATGGCGCGGTACCACCCGCGCGGCAGCGCGACCAGCGGGTGGCCCATGCCGCCGTCGTTGGCCTCCGTGAGCTTTACGAGGGCGCGCAGCTTGTCGAGGCCGTCGAGGCCGCGGGACCCGAGCCAGTCCGCGTTCTCGAGCTGGCGCCGCAGCACGCGCTCGTCGTAGGTCAGCGTGTTCGTGGTCATTTGGGAGGCAGCGGCGCGCCGGCGGTAGCGCTCGAATCAGCAAGCGCCGCAGCGGGAAGCTCGCGGACTAGCAAGAGCTGTTGGCGGGAGCACTCGGACTAGCAAGAGCTGTTGGCGGGAGCGTCGGACTAGCAGGCGCTGTTGCGGAACTAGGCGTCCATCCTCATCAACTCGATCGCTCGACCTTCAACTTGAGTTCAACACCAGTGGATGTTCGAACAACCCAGGACTCGGAGCTGGATTAGCTGGCCTCGGACCAAGCACACGACCAAGCACACACACACCAGCTTCTTTATGCACAAACGCGGCCTAGGCGGCGTGGTAGCGGTCCTCGGCGAGCTCGCGGGCGTAGCGCTTCTCCCAGGCGCGGCCCGCGGCGGCGATGGCGGCCGCGTCGGCCGCGGACAGGTCCGGCGGGTTCTCGTCGACGGCCGCGCGGTGCGGCGCGAAGGGCGACCCGTCGGGCGCGTAGACGACCCGCCCCCCCACGACCGTCGCGACGACCGCCGCTTCCAGGATCGCCGCCGGCGCCGCGACGGCCAGGTCGACGTCGAAGACCGAGAGGTCCGCCGCGTAGCCCGGCGCTATCGCGCCCAAGTCGTCCTCGCGGAACGCCGCGAAGGCCGCGTCGCGCGTGTAGCCGCGGAGGGCCCGCAGGTTGCCGACCCGTTGATCCGGGTAGAAGCCGCCCGCGGGCTCGCCCGCGGGCGTCTGGCGCGTCACCGCCGCGTGCAGCCCGAGCCGCGGGTCGACGTCGCCCGCGGTCGGGTAATCGCTCCCAAAGGGCAGCGCGCCCCCCAGCAGGTCCGTCTCCAGGAGCCGCTGCCAGGCGTAGGCGCCCGCGGCGCGGTCCGGGCCGAGGCGGTCGAGCGCGTAGCCAAGATCCGCCGCGCAGTGGCCCGGCTGCATCGACGGGATCACCTTCAGCGCCGCGAAGCGGCCGAGGTCCGCGTCGGTCAAGATCTGCGCGTGCTCCACGCGGAAGCGGTCGCCCGGCGCCACGCCCGCGGCCTCGTAGGCGTCGAGCACCGCCCGGTTCGCCGCGTCGCCGATGGCGTGCGCGGCGACCTGGTAGCCCGCCGCGCGCCAGAGCGACACGTTGCCGACGAGCGCGGCCTGGTCCTCGTAGACCAAGGTGCCCGTCGTGTTCCGGTCGTCGTAGGGTTCGAGCATCGCCGCGGTCCAGGAGCCCATGGCGCCGTCGGCGAAGAACTTGGCGCCGCGGACCCGCACGAGCGCCGACTCGTGCTTCCAGGGCAGCGGCGGCGGCGCGTAGCCGTGGGCCGCCGCGTCGCGGAAGACGTGGACGCGCGCCGTGAGCGCGCCCCCGTGGGCCGCGTAGTAGGCGACGTCGCCGGGGAGCGCCGCGAGGTCGTGGAGGCCCGCGAGCCCGAGGCGCGCGACGTCTTTGAGCTCGTCGTCGACGCTCGCGCGGACGGCCGCGGCCGTCGGGTGCGGCACGAGGTCCTCGACGAGGGCCATGGCGTTGTCCGTGAGGACGCCCGTCGGTTCGCCGGCCGCGTCGCGCACGATCGTGCCGCCGGGCGGGTCCGGCGTGGTTTTCGTGACGTTCGCGAGCGCGAGCGCCCTTGAATTGACCCAGCACGCGTGGCCCGAGATGTGGTAGACGTGCGTCGGCTTCTCCAGACCGTCGAGGTCGGCCTTCGTCGGCCAGGCGCCGCCGGGCCAGGTCGTCTGGTCGAAGCCGTTGCCGAGGAGCCACGCGGCGTCGCCGTGCGACCCGGCCCAGGCGGCCATGATCGCCGCGGCGTCGGCCGCGTCCCTGGACACGCGCACGTCCGCGTGGCGGCGCCGCGCGGCCTCGAGCATGACGTGGCAGTGGGCGTCCGTCAGGCCGGGCAGCACCGTCGCGCCGCCGAGGTCGACGAGGGTCGCGTCGGGGCAGGCGCGCGCGACGGACGCGCGCGTGCCGACGGCGTAGATCGTCTCGTCGTTCGTGCACAGCGCCTCGGCGAGCGCGTCGGCCGAGCGCAGGTCCGTCCGGATCGTGCCGTTGTAGAGGAGGAGCGCGGCGGCGCCCGCTGCGACGACGCCCATTGCAACTGCGATCGCACCAGGGGTGGGCGCGTAATGCGCGGCGGCCAAGGACGGGCGGCGCCGCGGAGGGAGATCGTGCGTGTGAAATGCCTGTGGTAAAATTCAAGAAGTACACAAGGTCGCTCAAATTGAAGTTCTTGCGCCCTCCCAGAAGCAACTCTTACCGCACGGCCGCGGGGTGGGGCGCGTCGGCGACGAAGCGGTCGACGGCGAGGTGCGTCTCCACGAAGGGCCGGACGCCCGCCGGCCCGAGGAGGTCCGCGAGGCGCCCGACGACGAAGTTCGCGCAACCGACCGCGTCCGCGGGCCGGTCGTCCGCGCCGTCGCCCCCGGCGACGTCCGCCGCGAGGGCCGCGCAGAAGGCGGCGACGTTCCTCGGCCCGTAGGCGGCCGCGGCGAGCGCCTCGACCTGGCGGCCGAGGTCGAGGACGTAGTGCGGCGGGAGGTCGCCCGGCGGCGGCCGCAGCGGCTCCGGGTGCTGGAACCAGTAGTTCAGCGACACCGTGCCGTCGTCGAGCGTCTCGACGGCGTGCCACCAGTGGCTCGGGATGAACAGCGCGTCGCCCGGCGCGAGGACGACGTCGTGCAGGTGGTCCTCGAGCGATTCGTCGTCGAGGCGCGCGCGCGCGTACGCGTCGAGCGGGTGGTGCGTCGGCCAGGGCTTGGCGGGCGCGCCCGGCGGCGCGAGGGTCAGCCGCTTGCGGCCGGCGAGCTGGAGGAACACGTTGTCGTACTCGTCGTAGTGGAGCGGCGAGTGCGCGCCCGCGTCGCCTGGGCGGGAACAGGGTGATTCAACGTCGCTTCAACGTGAGCGTTCCGCGCGCGCGTGCTCCAGAAAAAGCATCCACGCTTCGAGCGCGCTCCGAGGGATGATCGCTCGTCCAAAAATCAGCCGAAACGAGCGGAAAACGGCCGAGATAGGAGCCTTTGGGAATGTCGCACCCTTTTCCCGCCCCGGGCGTCGCTGACGAAGAGGTTCGACACGTTCAGCGGGCCGAGCCTCCCCGCGGCGCAGAGGCGGTCGAGGCGCGGGCCCGCGGCGGCGACGCGCCGCACGAGGTCCGGCCCCGCGGCGCGCCAGTTCATCTGCGGGAGCCGCGCGGACGTCTTCGTCGCCGTCGCCTTGCCCGGCGCGCAGAGCAGCGACTGCAGGTAGCAGCGGTAGGGCGAACTTTTCGCCTTGGCCGCGCGGTCGCGGAACTCGGCCCAGGTGAGCTTGAGCTCGCGCGTGTTGAAGGCGTGGTAGCTGCGGTTCTCGCGGCCCTCCGCGGGGCTGTCCTGGTAGTGGATGAACGCGCCGCGGACGCGCGGCGACTCCAGGACGATGTGGAGCCCGTCCCCGAGCTGGCCGTCGAGGTAGGCGACGTCGCCCCAGGGCGCGCCCCAGGGCCAGGCGACCGGGCGGTGCGCCGCGAGCGCCGCGCGCGCGCCGCCGTCGGAATCGGCGCGCTCGACGCCGGCCCAGGCCGCGGGCCCGCGGAGCGTCCGCGCGCCCGGCGCGGCGGCGGCGAGGAGCGAGATCTTCGCCGCGTCGCAGGTCGCCGGCGGCGCCCAGGCGTTGGAGGCCGCGGCCGCGGCGGCCGCGGCGCGCGCGGCCGCGTCGGTCGGCCGCGCGAGGCTCCGCCGGAGCGCCTCGCGGATCGTCGCCTGGCCCGCGGCGTCGTCGGCGGCGACCGGCGGCGCTATCGTCGGTGCCGGCCGCGGGCGGCAGACGAGCAGCGCGTCGCCCGCGCCGGGCGCCGACGCGAGCACGAGGTCGTCGCGACCCAGGACGGCGCCCGCGCGCGTCTCGAGGACGTGGGTCGCCGCGTCGACGCGTTTGCCGAGCGACGCCCAGACCTTGCGCGCGGGCACGTCCTTCTTCAGCGTGAGCTTGAGGCTCGCGCCGCCGACGACGTCGACATAGACCACTCGGGCCATAAGCCCGAAGAGATCGACAAAGCGCGCCGCAAAGGGCTCGCGTTGAACCTGTTGACTGGCGAGGCAGAAGCTCACCGAGGTCAAGTACAAGACGCACGAGGAAGCCTCAAGTTGAGAAGGATGGGGAGATCGGAGGCCGCGCCGCCGCCCGGCCACGCCCTGAGGCCAGGGGACGACGCGGCGCGGTGCTCCTTCGGCGAGGCCGACCTCCTGAGCGAGCTCGGGGCCATCGAGTCCGTGACGCCGCCGGTGCCGGCCCGCAAGCTGCACCGCACGCGCAGGTCGCGGAACCTCGAGCGCGACTGCCGCGGGCTCTGCGACGAGCTCGGCCTCGGCGCCGGCGCCTGCGAGCCCGACGTCGAGGCGCGGCGCCGGCGGGAGCCGTCGCCGACGTCGGTCTTCGCGCCCCTGCCGGACGCGCAGTTCAACAAACGGCCGCGACTCCCCTCCGCGGCCGCGGACGACGACGACGACGACGAGCCGCCCGAGTTCTACTAGCGCCGCCTTATTGCACATAGGCAGCCCCCTCGCCCGCGGATGAGACCCTGCCCGCGCCGCCGCCGCCGCCCCCGCCGCGCGCGCCCCGCGCGCGCGCCGCACCTTTTTGTACATGCCTTGACACGATTACGGCGCGGCGACGTGGGGCCCGCGGAAGGTCGGGAGGCGGCCCGGCGGCGGCGGCGGCGGCGCGTCCGCGCCGCCGCCGCGCCCCGCGAGCACGAGGTGCCGGCCCGTGACCCTCCGGTCGACCATGGTCGTCAGGTCCGCGCCGTACTTGTGCGCCAGCGCGCCGCAGAGCAGCGCGTAGCGCGTCTCGTCGTCCAACACGGCCGTCGGCGACCGGCTCGACTTGCGGTCCGTCCGCGCGCGGTCGAGGTAGTTGGGCGCCTTGAGGCAGCAGGGCACGACGAGCCACGCGCTCCGCCGCCGCGCGGCCATGTCGAGCGCGACGGCGTTGGCGTCGTCGCAGCCGTGGACGACGACGACCATGGCGTCGCCGTCGAGGTCCGCCTCGACGGCCGTCAGGCTCTCCTCGCGGAAGTCGCACGGCGCTTTGCCCGCGGCGACGAACGCCGCGCGCCACGCGTCGAAGGCGTCGCGCTTCTCCAGGTCCACGGCGACGACGGCCGTCGCCGGGAACGCCGCGGCCGCGAGGTGCGCCACGAAGCCGTGGCCGCAGGCCAAATCGAAGAGCCGCGCGGGCCGCGGGCCCCGGTCGAGCCGCCGGTGGAGCACCTTGAAGACCTCGACGGACTCGAAGAGCTCCTTGACGCGCGCCTGCTTCGGCGCCGCGACGCAGGCCGCGGCGACGGCGTCGGCGATCTCGCCCGGCGCGTCGAAGAGGTAGCGGTAGAGCGCCGCGCGGTCGCCGCCGGTCAGGTCGCCGACGACGACGCGCGGCGACACGGTCGCCGCGTCCGCGACCTTCGTGGACCGCGTCGGGAGCGCGTCGAGGAACTCGCCCATGTCGAACGCCGCGGCGGCGCGGTCCGCGCTCGCGGCGTCGGCCCAGGGCGATTCCAGGAACGCGTGCTTCGCCGCGGCCGCGCGCTGTCCGGCCTCTGCGTGGCGCTTGCCCGCGACGTGCAGCGCCAGCTGCTTCCGCTTGTCGAAACCGCAGCCGCACAGGTCGCAAACGTGCGGCTTCGAGCGCCAGGCCGCGGCGGACAGCGCGCGGCCCGGGGCTCCGAGCGCCAACGCTCCGGCGATGAGCTTCCGCCACCGGCGCGCGACGGCCCAGCGCATCTACGCGAGAAGCGCCTGGAGGTAGCGGCTGTAGGACAGGAAGTAGAGCAGGGCGGCGGCGGGCGCCGCGAACCAGACGACGAGGAAGGCGTTCGCGAGCGCCGCGCGGCTGCACGGCGGCTGCGACGCGTCGACCATGCAGGGTGGTGTGGTGCGCGAGTCGTGCGGCGACGCGTGCGGCGCAACGATGCGACGAGTGACGCGCGGTCTCGCTGTGCGCGCGCGGCGCGGCCGCGGCGCTGGGCTACAAAGAGCTTTTTGTGCAAGCTCTTCAAACTGCTGCATCATGCACAGACAGTGCCATTCTACTCGGGAAGTCCAGACGCTCCAACTTGCGACGAGCACAGATAATGCCGTTATTCACCGACGAAAATTACGCCGCCGCGACGAGCGCCGCGAGCTTCTCCGCCGTCTTCTCGTCCGGCGGCAGCTCGAGGTCGCCGGCCGCGCCGTCCATGGCGTTGAAGGGGGCGTTCTTCTGCAGCTGCGCCTTGTTGCGCTTGATGATGCCGACGCCGGAGCCGACGTAGAGGAGGTGGAAGAACTTGACGGCGCCGCCGACGTCCGCCCGGAAGCCCGCGAACGTGACGCAATCCTCGCTTAGCGCCTCGAGCAGCGCCGGGACGCCGGAGCCCTCGGCCCGCAGTTTGTAGGCCTTGCCCTCGAGGACGAACGCGGCCCAGTCGATGGCTGTCGCGTCGCTGCGCACGCGCGCCCAGGCGTCGGTCACGGCCGCCGTCTTGTCCGAGGACGTCTTCATGCCGTCCGCGGCCGCCTTGTCCATGGTCGCATACACCTCCGCCATGGTTCGCGGCGCGAGGGCCGCCGCTGCCGCCGTGCAGGCGCGCTCAGGCTGCGGCGCTCAAGCTGTCGTGCAGATGCTGCGGCGCGCTCAGGCTGCCGCGCTCAGGCCGTCGTCCAGACGCTGCGCGCGCAGGGCTGAGAGAGTGAGCGCTGCCCGGCAAGGCCGATGATGCCGCACCATTGAGGCTGGAAAGTTTCGCGCGAGGAGAGCGTATTGGCTGTGCGGGAACAGTGGAAGGCGCCGGGAGCCGCTGCCGTTAGCGTCGCGAGTCCGCCGCGTGCATGGCCGAGGAGGAGGAGGACCCGGAGGAGCCGCCGCCGGCGCCCGCCGCGCCGGTTTCGCCCCCCATGAGCCTGCTCTTCTGCTGCCACTCCAACGAGGCCGCCGGTGCCTCGACGGACGCGCCGACGGACGTTCCGGACGACGAGGGCGAGTTCCTGGCCCACGTGCCCAAGGGCGGCAAGCCCGGCGTCGTCATCCGCGTCCAGGCCCCCCAGAACTCGCGCGTCTACGCCGTCGAGATCCCCGACGGCGCGACGCCGGGAAGCACGCTCGCGATCGCGCTCCCGGAGGACGAGGCGGCGGAAACGGCGTTCGCCCGCATCAAGGAGCTCGCGCCCGTCGACGCGGACGCCGCGTGGAAGGACCACGCCGACGCGGGGGCCCACTTCCGCGCGCCGAGCGACGCGCACGTCGAGTTCAAGCAGGAGAAGAAGCGCGCGCGATGGGCCTGGTGCCGCTGCTGCTGCGGCGTGCGCCGGCCGACGTCCGCCTCGGCGCCCTGGCGCGGCTCCACGGCCGCCCGATGACGGCGCCGGCGGACACCGCGTGTTTTCGCCCGCCCGACCCCCGGCGGTTTCTATCGTAAACTTCAGCCTCAGCGACCGCATTTGGGGCTGCCTCTCGGCCAGCCGTCCCGAATCCTGCGCCGCCGCCCGCGTCGTCCGATCCCACCACGACCATGCGCTCGGCGGCCTTGGTCGCGGCGTCGTCGCTGGCCGCCGGCGCCGCGGCGCTGGACTTCCTCAACGCCTACCAGGTGCACGGTTCCTCCGACGCCGTCACGCACGACTGCGACGCCTACGCAACATACGCCGATGATTCACGATCGAAGCCGCTCTTCTTCGCGGCGGCGGAGACCCTCGGCGGCCTCAACGCCTCCCTGGCGGTAGCGCCGTGTGTGGTTCTCTGGCTCGGGACGAACCCCGGCGGGGCGACGCCGAAGGGCGACGCGCCCCCCGGCCGCCTCGCGGCGACGCCCGGCGGCATCCTCGACGAGCTCGACGCCGGGGGCTGCGCGGTCGTCTACCTCGACGAGTGCCGGCCCGCGGCGTACGTCGCCGAGAACGCCGCGGCGTACCGCGCCGCCGCGACGTACCTGCTGTCGCTCGGCGCGGGCCTCGGCGCGACGAAAGTCGTCGTCGGCGGCCCGGCCTCGGGCGGCGTGCACGCGCTCCAGCTCGTCGACTGGCTCGCGGGCGAGTGGCGCGCCCGGGGCGGCGCCGCGGCGACGACGTTCCTCGCCGTCGCGGACTCGGCCTGGAGCCTCGCGGCGCGCGACGACGCCGCCGCGGACGCCGCGGCCGACGCCGCCGCGGACGCCGCGGCGGTCCTCTACGCCGACGCGTCCTGCGCCGCGGCCTACGCGGGCCGCGAGCGCCTCTGCCTCCGCGCGGCCGTCGTCGCGGCGTACGTCGACGCGCCCGCGTTCTGGGTCGCGCACCACTACGACTACGCGGCGCTGCTCGACCAGTACCCGGGCGGCGTCGGCGACGAGGCCGACGCCGTCGGCGTCGAGAAGCTCGGCGCGACGCTCCGCGACAGCGCCGAGAGCGGCGTCCGGGGCCAGGCGTCGAAGACGAGCGACACGCTCTTCTCCGTCGCGTGCGCGAACCACGCTGTGCCGGAAACAACCGGTGAGCTGGACCCGTCCAGCAAAACTTCAAACCTCTCTGTCAAGTCGAAGTCGATTCGGCCAATTTTTGGACGAGTCGTTTTCTCTCGTCGAGCCCTCTCCAGAGAGTTAAACACTCGCGTCACAACTGTTCGATTACGCGCAGCGCACATTGAAGTCGTGTTGAATATTTTGTTTCCTGCCCAGGAACCACGGCACGATCGCCGCCGTCGACCGGGACCTCTTCGCGCGGCGCGCGGACAAGGGCCACGTCAAGCTGAAGTCGTGGCTCGACGCCGGCGCCTGGGGCGAGCTCCGCGCGGCGAGCTCCGACCCGCTCAAGGCGACGCTCCTCGCCTGGATCGCGCGCGGCGCCGGGGACGGCGCGCTCGTCCGCGACGCCTGCGACTCGTTCCTGTGCAACCCGACGTGCCCGTCGTCCATCGCGTTCCGGAGCCCCCGCAACCCGCCGCCGCGCACGGCCCTGCGCTTCGGCCTCGGCTCGCTCTTCCCCGTGGCCCTGCTCGCCATGCTCGTGCTGGGCCACCTGCCGGGCGTCTGGGCCCGCGCGCGGAAGATCGAACGGGGCCTCGCCGCCCGGGCCGCGCCGGGCGCCGGCGACCGGTCCCGGGCGCGGTCCGGGACGCTCGCGCGGCGCGTCGCGGCGGGGACCGAGGGCGCGCTGGACGTGATCGCGGACGCCGTCGCGGACCTCGAGGGCGACGCGACGATGACCAAGGCGGCCTACGACGAGACGCTCCGGAGCGACCTCGACAAGATGGTGCTGCGCTGCGACGGCCTGAGCTACTGGGCGCCGCGGCGGCGGGGCGCGCCGCCCTTCCGGATCCTCCACGGCGTGTCGACGACGGTCGCGCAGCGGTCCATCACGGCCGTCATGGGGCCCTCCGGCAGCGGCAAGTCGACGCTCCTCGAGGTCGTCTGCGGCGCGCGGACCGCGGGGTCCATCGCCGGCGACCTCGCGCTCAGCGGCGCGTCGCTGCTCGCGGGCGGGCCGTCGCGGCGGCTCCGCGACTGGTACCGGACGTCGTCGGCGTTCGTGCCCCAGCAGGACGTGTTCCTCGCGTCGCTCACCGTGCGCCAGTTCGCCGCGCACCTGGCGCTGCTCGTGCTGCCCGCGGGCCTGGAGACGGCGGCCAAGGCGCGCGCGGCCTACGAGCTCCTCGAGAGGGTGCGGCTCCACGAGGCGCTCGACACGCGGATCGGCGACGGCGGCGTCGCGATCCAGGGCGGCCTGAGCGGCGGCCAGCGGCGGCGCCTGTCCGTGTTCCAGCACACGCTCGCGGCGAAGCAGTTCCTGTTCCTCGACGAGCCGACGTCGGGCCTCGACGCGACGTCGTCGCTCGTGCTCCTCGCGTGCCTCGACGCCATGAAAAACGGCGACGGCGGCAAGTGCGTCGTGCTCACGATCCACCAGCCCCGCCAGGAGGTCTTCGACTACATGGACCAGGTCGTCGTACTGGTCAAGGGCCGCGTCGCCTACGACGGCCGCCGCGGCGGCCTCGACGTGATCTGGCGCCACAACCCGGACGTCGCGGACATCGTCGCGAGGGCCAAGGGCGTGTCGCCGCCGGACCTCATGCTCGACGTGCTCGACGCCGTGCAGTCGCGGGGCGTCGCCGCCATCGAGGCCCACGTGAGGCTCATGGAGGAGCACGCGGAACCCGCCGCGGAGCCGCCGTCGCCGGGGACGCGCTCCATGCCCGTCGCGGACCGGCTCGCGCGCATCGCGGACCTGAAGCGCCAGGCGGGCTTCTCCGCGGAGACGGGCGTCGCCCTCGCGAACACGCGCGTCCGCTACGTCGCCGCGCTGCTGTTCCGGCGCCGCGTGCTCACGCACGGCTTCTCCAAGTACGTCGCCAACGGCGCCGCGTTCCTCGTCGCGTCGCTGCGCGCCGCGGCGTCCCGCGGAAGTTCTCGAGAGCGTTCCACCGAAGGAACGTCGCCACCGACGCCCCGGGTAGGTTCGTCGGCGCCATGCTCCGGCGCGCGTACCGGCGGGCGATGTATCTGGCGCTGCTCTTCGCGACGATCGGCCCGTCGGTGCTCGCGCTGCTCTGCGCGTCGTTCCAGAACTACCTCCTCGAGCCCACGGAGTCCGCGGTCTACGAACGGGAGGTCGCCGCGGGCCAGACGTCGCTCGCGCCCCACGTCGCCGCGCTCTGGCTCTTCGATTCGTCGTCGGCGCTGCTCTACGCGCTGCTCTTCGCGCTGCCCCTGTGGCCCCTGGCGGGCATGCCCTCGGAGTACGTGCCCTGGCTCCTCCTGATCACGTGCATGCACGCCGTCGCCATCGCGGCGGTCATGCAGGGCATCCTGTGCTGGCTGGGCCTCGGGAAACCGCGGAACATGCCCGCGCTCTCCGTGGGCAACGCGCTCGTCCTCGTCTTCTCGGGCCTCGCGGTGCACGTCCAGGACGCGTGGCCGGCCATGCGGCCCTTCGTGCTCCTGTCGCCGAACACGTGGGCCAACGCGGCGATCGCGCGGACGGCCGTGTGGCGCCTCGACGACGTCACGGACTTTTACGGCAAGGCGAACCTGTCCGAGTGGCTGCAGAACTCGGGCGTCTTCGGCGTCGCGCAGCTGGGCTACGACGCGACGGTCCTGGGCGTCGACCTGACGACGGGGACGGCGCTGGGGGTGCTGGTCGCGTGGCACGTCGCCGCGCGGGCGTTGGGGCTCCTGGGCTTCTGGGTCAACAACCGGGAGCAGCGGATCCGGAACCGGGACGCGGGCGGCTTCGCGGCCGCGGAGCGCGACGTCGCCTGGCCGGAGCTCGCGCCGGCGAAGGAGGCCTACGCGCCGAGCTCGCTCGGCGTCGCGCTGGACCGGCTCGAGGAGCACGTCGGCGGCAACGGCGCGCGGACCTGGTCGAACGTGCTGCTCTTCAGCGACTTCTACTTCACGGCGGCCTACGTGTGCCTCGGCGCGAGCGAGGAGGACGGCGACTTCATGCTCGCGTGGCGAATCGTCTCCACGGTCGCGTACGTCGCGCTCCTCGCGTCGGAGCTCCGCGTCTTCCGGCTGAGCCTCGCGGACGTCCTCGTCAAGCTCGGCCGGCGCGTCGACGCCGAGGCCGCGGACCTCAAGCGCGCGTGCCTCGGCGCCGCGGGGCTCGTCGCGCTGGCGAACGGGTTGAACGTCGCGCAGGCCGCCGCCCTGGACGCGCGCCTCGGCGCGCAGGTCGCGGTCAACGCGCTGGCCCTCGCCGCGCGCTACGCGCTCTACCGCCACTGCGAGAAGACGCTCTTCGGCAAGATCCAGAAGTTCACGCTCCTCGCCGCGGAGGGCGACGACGCGCCGCGCCCGGACTCCGGAACCGTCGAGCTCCGGTCCGCCCGGAACCCCATGGCGGCGCCCCGGGAGCCGGCGCTCCGCATGCCCGGGACCTAAACCTCTTTACGCCGCCGCCGCGCGCAGGCGCGGCAGCAGAGCGCGACCGCGGCCACCGCGGCGACGAGCGCGCACGCGAGCAGCGCGTACGCGGCGGCGGCCGCCGCGGTCTCCGTCGCGTCGAGGTCCCGCGCGTCGCCGTCGAGCTCCCGGAACTGCCGCTCGATGCCCTCGGACAGGGCGTCGACGACGGCGCGGTGCAGCTCCCGCGACTCGTCGCCCATCGTGGCGTCGGCGGCGCGGCGGAGCTGCGGTCGGCGGCGCGCGGAGCAGAGGTGCTCGCGGCGGCTGTCGAGCTGCAGGTTCTGCGGTGAGCTGCTGGTCAAGCTGCAGTCCCGATTCGGCGTCGCGGTGCTCGAGCTCTTCGCGCGAGAGCGACTGTGCGGCACGCAAGCTCGAGCTCCAAGCTTGAGAGCTGTCGAGTTTTTAGCGAAGCTCTGTGTTGATGTTGGAGTTGACGAGGCTGCCCGAGCATCCCGAGCTATGAGCGCGCGCGCATAGAGCGTCGACGTGCGATGCGCCTCGTCGCGGCAGCGCTGCTCGCAGCAACAACAACAGCAACATCCCTCGACGCGAGTTCGCTCCTGCCGG